CAATCCAGACTCTCATCAGAAGCTGTAGGAAGTGTTTAGAGGCTGTTATTTCTGTGAAAGGAGGAGCTACTAAATATTGAGGGTTTTTTGGTGCCCAAATTTATGCACCTGCCTAATTTATTTTTGAACAGAAATTAACAAGGGTGCCCAAACTTTTTCATATGACTGTAACTCCCTGCACTACATCTTGGCTCAACACCATCTAGTAACAAATAGACAACTTGATTATGTAAACGTTTCTGTTGTCTAGGTCTACTCTACTTGGCTAAAACGTGAGTTCAGGAATGCACATCAAAACACAAACAGTAAATACAATGAACCAACAACATCCTTTGTTTGACTAGTAGACAAATGTACAAGTCGACACCAGAATATGGACTCAGATGGACAATCAATGTCCAATTGCCTGGACAGCTCCAGTGAAAAACTCATGTCTTCAGGAGGAGATGGCAGCACAGGTGGAAGACAAAGTAAAAGCAACAGACTTGTTTTAATTTTGTTCGCAGTACAATTTTAGCATGTTAAAGGGGACATGTCATGCAAATTTCACTTTTTTAATTGTTAAATGCTTTTTCTTGTGTACTTAAAGTCTCTAAGGTTGCAAAAAAATTGAAGCTAATCTCTCCCAGTGCTGCATGGATATCTTCATATTTTGTTTGGGTTATATTTTTCAACTCGTTCAGTTTTCTTCCTAAACGATTACATAAAATTGTTTGCGACAGAACTGCCAAACAAGCTCTGGACTTACCAACAACAGTTTCATCATCTTCATTCTTATTTTTTTACTGAACATGTCAGACTCCAAGGATATTTATTTTCTGTGGGKTTTTTTTTAGCCTAAATACTAAAAAAGTCAAGCAGTTTGAATGCTGGCTAAATTCTAAAATTTCTTTTTTACATTAAAAAACTAAATATCTCTTCAAAGAAGGATGTTGGCAATCCCTTCTTCTACTTGTAATTGACAGAAATAGAAAATCCCTCTGCAGTGTGCATTACCCTCAACATTCTACCAACCTCACTATTTCTTTCACAGCTCAGACGGGGTCATTTTAACTGACTGAAATGCCATGAATTCTGCACCAACACAAACAGCAGTGACAGTGTTGTTCCTGTAGGGAGGCATGCTGGCTATGGATAGCTGACTCAGAGAAATGGCTGGTTGAAAATGATGTAAAAACATTTAAATAGGTGACAAGGCAGAGGCAGACACAGGGGTAAAACAAAAAGGGAAAGAGAAATATGTATTAGGTAACTTTTAGTACCTTTACATAAATGCTGTTGTACAATGAATGGAAATTACTTTTGTTGTGAATTCTGCTATATAAATAAATTGAATTAAAAGTAAGGGTAATCTCCAATGTTAGTTTGATTTAAGAATTTGAGGGATATTCATAAGTACATATAAACCATCTGAACATTAAATATAAAGACAATAAAAAAGTCCTTTACTTCACAAAATGATGGCTTATCAATTGGCAAAATTTTGAGTGAATTGACACAATTTTATTAGTAATAAAAGTGATAAACCAAAGGCTCCATGATGTTGTCAGTAGGGTTCCTGACTAGATTTTTTTAAATTCTCCTCTGTTTCTTTATTTTCTATGGAGCCYGTGAGGGGACGGGAGATTTTTTTCTTTTGCGTTCCCAAGCAATAGTATTGCGTTCTCTCGCAAAAGTTGTTTGTCACTGTTGTGCCTGCCGGTTTATTAACAAACTCACATGTTCACCATTAGCGAGTTAGCATACTGCTTTAATTCAGCTTCAGAATGAATATGAATATATCACACAGCTATGCATGGAARTATGTCATATGCCGATATTTTAACACAGTGCAGCCACACAACATCAATGTCGATTTCACAAACTTGTGGCGACACATCCTGTTTTGGTAACCRGATATTTCAAAATAAAAGTCTGATTTAATTCACTTCATATACAAATCAAACTTTTGCGTGGGAAAGCAAAACAATATTGCGAGGTAACGCAAAGGTATTGTGAGGTAACGCAAAAGTATTGCGAGGTAACGCAAAAGTATTGCGAGGTAACGCAAAGGTATTGTGAGGTAACGCAAAAGTATTGCGAGATAACGCAAAAGTATTGCGAGGTAACGCAAAAGTATTGCGAGGTAATGCAAAAGTATTGTGAGCTAACGCAAAGATATTGCGAGCTAATGCAAAAGTATTGCGAGGTAACGCATATGTATTGCGAGGTAACGCAAAGCTATTGTGAGGTAACGCAAAAGTATTGTGAGGTAACGCAAAAGTATTGCGAGGTAACGCAAAGGTATTGCGAGGTAACGCAAAGGTATTGTGTGGTAACACAAAGGTATTATGAGGTAACACAAGGCATTGCGAGGTAACGCAAAGGTATTGCGAGGTAACACAAAGGTATTGCGAGGTAACGCAAAAGTATTGCGATGGAACGCAAAGGTATTGTCAGGTAACGCAAAGGTATTGCGAGGGAATGCAAAGGTATTGCGAGGTAACGCAAAAGTATTGCGATAGAACGCAAAGGTATTGCGAGGTATTGCGAGGTAATGCAAAGGTATTGTGACGGAATGCAAAGGTATTGCGAGGTAACAAAAGTATTGCGAGGTAACGCAAAAGTATTGCGAGGTATTGCAAGGTAACGCAACAGTATTGAGAGGTAATGCAAAGTTATTGCGAGGTAACGCAAAGGTATTACGTGGGAACGCAAAAKAACAAAATCCCCCCATGTCCCCTCGCGGGCTCCGTAATTTTCTGTATGCTCCGACAGTAATTAAATTGAAAGAAAGACTATCTTGAAAGCCACACAAAATCTATACATCAAAAAATTCAAGCAAACTATGATCAACAGACAAAGACTGTATTTCTATTCTCACCTTTATGAGTCAGTTTTTTCAGTGATGTGAAGATTGAGGAAATAATGGGTTCCTGAACATTTCCAGGCTGTGTAGGCCCCAGTGGAGTGGTGGGGGAGACAGATGATGGGCTGGTAAACGGGAGTCCACAGACATTATCCGTCTCTCTTGTTCCTTGTTTAAGCAGCACCAGCCCTTGAGCTTGGCAGTTGGTGTGATTTTTGCACCTAACTGCATTGGACTTCACATCTGAAAATGTTCCCTTTGTGCACGGCTTGCAGACAGCGTCCTGTGTTTCAGTGCCCTGTTTCTTCACTCTGGAACCCTGAGGACACAGGGAGTGGGGCTTGCACTTTGTGGCACCGTCCCGCGACAGGAAGCTGTTGGCCAGACAGGCGCAGACACGATCTTGGGTGGCTGTGCAAGGCACTTTCTCGACAAAGCCCACAGGACAAGGAGCACGGCAGCGATGACATTGCTGAACACCGTTCTCGCCTCGGGTGAAGGTACCCTCAGGGCAGGGGCTGCATTCCCTCACAGCCGTCAGAGAGCAGTGGACGGACACGTAGGTCCCTGCCGGACACTTGTCACACACCAGTTGGGTGCCTGAATGTCGGTCAGTGTGCTGATAATGTCGTGGAGAAAGGAGGGGCTTGTCCTCTGTGCTGGTTGAGGTCAAAACCCGCGCTGAGATCTCAGCCATGATTGTACATAAAAGCTAAAAAGAGAAGGGTACATAAAGAAAATTAGTCCTCACTGTCAACTCAATTCATCATTCTGAGACAACAAAACAAGCTGATTTTAAAAGTGTCAATGGACGCTCAACTGTAAATCATTAAGGAGCTACATATGTTGTCACAAAGTTTTTGGGTGGTTCATAACTGCATAGAGTGTTAGCCTATATGTTACTGGACTGAAATCAAAACTATTCTCTGTATTAGAACAATAGAATATGTTACTTTCTCTATTTTAGTGGATGGAGTAGCTCTTTGCAGAAATATTTTTATTCATTTGCACAAGATTAGAATAGAATAGAATTGCTAGATCTATTGGCSTACTGCATAAAGTAAGGGAGTTATTTAATGATAAAGCTCTGTAAATGTTGTATAATGTAATGTTTGTTCCACACTTGATTTATTAAGTCTGGGGGAAAGCATGCAAAACAATTATAAACCCTATTTTTGTTTTACAGAAAAGAGCTGTAAGAATTATTGCAAGAAAACACTACAGTCACCCATCAAATATATTATCATTTGAAATGATTGAAGTTCTATGGGTTGGTTGATTATAATATTTTACAGGTTATGTATAAGGCTCATAAACGTTTATTGCCTTTAAACATCCAATTGAATTTTGTTAAAGAGAGAAAGTTGTTATGATCTGAAGGGGGTAGAGATGTTTGTGAAACCTGGATTTCAAACTAGTTTGAGGGAGCGATGTTCTTCGATACAAGAAATAAAACTGTGGAACAATCTGGAGAGTGATGTCAAAAATGCTAGAACAATATGTATGATAAAGGTCATCTTGTTAAAGAAATATGAAACAATGTAACGTGTATTCATACGAAATGATATTTAATAAGTATTTGAGG